AAACCCCACGACAACACGGGGAGAACATGGGTGTTTCGTTATTATACATTAGCCAGATATTACATACACAGGAAATCACAAAACAACTGTCTCTAAATGCAACAAACACAGAAACCCCACATAGATGGAGCCATGGCAGAGACTTGAACCCTGGTGTCAGAGGTGCAAGGCAACAGTGCTAAACCACCATGCCACAGGCTATTCAAGTTAAGTACAGGCAGAGTCACCACAGAAGTCCCCAGATGAAAGGAGATGCCGTGATCTCTAGTTTTGAATCAGAGTCACCTGCAATCAAAACAGGAGAGGCTGGCAGGAGGAGATGGCGTCACTGCACAGCAGGGATATTAATGATGTGCCGTGCAGCTCAGCCGGTCATGTTACCTCAAGCCGTCTTCAACAGGCCCATTTCTTGCATGATCCTTGTGCTAGGGGCTGATTTGCAGAGAAAGCGTACGTCTGTTTCTGTGACTGCTGATTGATTAGCAAGCAAGTTCTCACAGAGATTGACAATGTTGAAGATGTACATTATTATACATGATAAAGCAAGAAATATGCACTTAATTCTTTTTTCAGGAATTGTCACTCCGTGTGTGCATACTTTATATAATCACAGTAACTCGTTACTTCATTAAACATATTAATCCCAGTAAATTTACTCAAGATTTTCTACGTTTCATTCAATAAAAAAAATGGTGCCCAGACATTGGTAAAACCAGGGATCACCAACCTGTCCGCATTTGGCAAGACTCGTCTGTATCTGTGATTAAAAAAAACTGCATAGGCCTCCGTTTTATATACCATGTTGGTAATAAAATTTGCATTTTCCCCATGACCACTGATTGCATTCACTCATGACTTCAAAGACCATAGAGAAGCTTCAGGAAAATCTGTAAACCTGTTTATTTGAAACATCACAGGAAACAAAGATTAACACATAACAGGGCTGACAGCACACATACAAACATATTTTTTTCATATTCATCCAGTCATCAGAAATATATTTGAAATCACCTCATTAAGAAGTAAGACTCTTATTTGCCAAGGGGGCATCCTAAATTCTCACAGGCAGAGTTCAAAAAAGATAAAAAAAAAAAAAAAAAAAGAAACGCATACAGATATTTTAAGTATGGAGTGCAGATATGGAAGCTGAGCCCTCCACCCTCGACAGAGAGCAGCATGTCCGCAGTCTATGTCATGCTTTCGTTCCTCAGAGTGCGTTTTGGATGCCACGGGCAAGTACTCGACAGGCCTAGTCGTCCCTTGACTCGTGACTTTCTCTTTGTCAGGCTGTGACACCTAATGGGAATGACCAGCTCCTCCATTACGGCTCTAAAGGAAATGCACTGGTAAAGACAACATGGCGGCTTCAGTAACCAGCGCAGAACAGCTTAGAATAGTAATAATAATATATTACAATAACAAACAACTTATATAGGTATATAATAAGCATCATAATAAAATAAAACAACAACATTAATAGTAATAATAAAAAAAAATAATAATAATAATAATGATTTGGGATAAATTAGGTTGCCGTGTGGTTTAAGAAAAAAAACTATACAGAAAATAATAATGTTTGAAATGGCTGATTTTTTCCCCAGCTTAAATTTAGTCTGAAGTCAAAATAAAATCCTAAACTCAGTATGGCTTCTATTGGTCATTTAAACCATTAAGGTGGCCTTTTTTCTTTTTTGAAAAAAATGTACATTTTAGCAGTTTTTTGGCCCAAATGATATATGCTACTACATTTCGGGACAGACCTCGCTTTTTTCGGCTCCAAATCATTCTTTCCTCCGTATGTTGCAGATATGAGGGGAAGGATGTGTGGTCGATTCTCTACTTTAGGTCCAGCAGAAATATGCCCACTAGAAAAGAGTTCTCTTTTGCGAGCGTAAATTGGAATTTTATGAAGTAAATGTTTTCTGTGTTCGTCCATGTGTGATACGACTGGGCTGCGTCCAGGAATTTATAAATGTCATATCAGAAAATAGATTCCGATTCTTGTGTCAAACGATAGAAACAATGTTTGCTAGTTGCTTTTCAATATATACTTCAAAAAGCAATTCATTTAAACTCTCGTGGAAGACAGTTTTATATCAAATGCCCAGGGCCCTGAAACAAAAAGTTCAAATCATCTTTCTGCTCTTTCATTTCTCACCAGGGAGAAGCTCGGGGCGTTCCACTGACAGGATCAATGCGACCAGCTGGTGGCGCTGCATGCTTCGCCAGCCTGCCAGCTCTGTAGAGCCTGCTAAAATAGATATGTGCATGCTGATACCTACCCCAGAGATCGCCGTCGGTGATGCATGTGTGTGACCTGCAGGCAGACCTAAGGGGGGGATTTGCAGGGAATCTGAGGGGAAAATCCCACTCTGGCCGCAATGCAGCACTGATTCACGCCTGACAGTTTCCTTCATGTAAACCTTAATCTTTAATCTCAATAACAAAGCATGACCGAATAAATCATTTTTAAAGTTAATTTTAGAACGTATCGTTACGATTAAAATGTGAAATGTGCTCTGTTTTCCATCTGACATGTTCAAACAATTTGCAATTATGTGAAAAGCCCTTAAACAATTTGGGGGTAAAATATTTTCTTGCCTTTAGTTTTTGTTCAAATCAAATCAAATCGATTTGATTAGTTTAAGTTGGTTTTATTTATTTTTAAACACAAGTAAATCTTGTGTTCATTCTTATAACTTCCAGGGTTTCCAATCTTCAGTCTCAGCTTCTGTCAAGGTTTTAAAACAAGTTGTTCAACTACTGATCACACTTTCTAATCAATCAATCATTTTTAGGACTTAAGTCATAGGCAGGCAAAAAAGGTTATTTATACAGTGTATTTGAGATCAGAAAAAAATATATTATTAGAACATATGAAAACTGACAGCAACACAATAAAAAGACACAAGAATTTCTTACCCAAAAGGTTATCGAGCTCTTGCTGGATGGCTAGATGAACACCACTATGGTTCCCAAACCTCTCCTCAGAGGCACCTCAGCCATTCCACATATTCGTTTAATTTGTCCACCAGCTCAATTAATTAATTAATTTGTTACATAACTAAATTTGTTATTAATTAGCCAAACAATGTTGGGTAGTGGTCGATTAAAAAAAACACATGGGTGTACTGGATGGTCTCTGCAAACGGCGAAGACATAATATAGTTTTACACCAACTTGAAGATCATTTAAACATCATTGACTGCCTAAGACTTTTCCACAGTACTGTACCTACCAAAAAAATGTAGCAGAGCAACGTCTGCAGGAAAAAGACACAGCTCATTTTCAAACCACTGCAGTATGGTCTTCTGCATTCAAAATGTCCCTTAAATTTAATTTTTAGATATCAGACATGATTATTCTTTTATAGCTCGACTCGTCTTAGGAAAATATGTCTTTTTTTAATGGGATATCACCTGGAATTGTGCACAGCACTTTTAAAAATATATTAGCGGTTCATTGTTTTGTTTCAATCATTTCACAGGGCAATGCTGCAGACCCATTACTACATGCTTGGGTCTGAGGTTGAAATTACAAGTTCAGTTTTATATAAATTCAGTATGAAATGATAAGTTCGGTTTTATAGGCTGCATTTCTAACATACTCATTAGCCTACGCTAAAGTAAGGCGGCTCAGCTGAGCGATACATTTTAAGCCTCTGCATTACTATTGTTCTTTTGCCCCCTATAGCCCAGCCGGTACTCTGCAAGATGTCACTATCATTTGCAAATGTTTCTTATACTGTAAAGAGTTGCATATCCCATTAAAGCTGGAAAACATATCTTCTTTCTCCCTCAATTTTCTCAACACTACTTCAATGTTGAGTCCGTGATTCATCTTGCTGGACCCTGAAAAAAGAGGTCACCTTTCATGTAAGCTAAGCCCAAATGGAGCTAATGAGAAGCTTTATTACTACAGCCAGCCAAGATACCCTGGCCTTTTAGCACTGTTTCTCTGCAAAACGATATACATTCTCTTCGCATTATGGTGTTTGACTTACGACATTTCATCTTTACGACGGTGTACGAAGCATATTCAGTAGCCATAAAACTTATGCGATATGCCCTGCGCTGTAGTGCTTGCAAGCATAAACATCACGTGGCTCGGCGGGCTAACCTAAGCGGGCTAAGCTAAGCCCAGCTTTGGCATGATAGTTGCGTGTCCATGGGTCCTTGAGCAGGGCCCTTAACCCCCAGCTCCGCGGGTGTCACTACAGGTGGCTGTCCATTGCTGCCAAACTTGCTCTCACCTACTTTTTTGTTTTTCTGTGTTTTACCAAATTATACCAAGCCCACTATGTCTGCTAGACACTCAAGTGTGTCATATTCATCTTATGATATTTTCAATTTGCAATGTGTTCATCAGAATGCAACCCCACGACAAGTGGGGCACAACTTAGATCTGAACCATAATCTGGACTGGGACGCTCATCATTGACATTCGCAAAGACAACCTTAGGTTGCGGAGATTCAGAAGACATCCTATATTCATATTTCAGAAATCAATTTATTTACTGTTGTTTCAGTCAAAGAGAACAAGAATATATATATCAACACGGGGCTAGCTGTCCTTCCTCGTTTCTCAAATTAAATGGCTCCAGTTTTGCAGTTTTCATGCTATTATGAAACAAAGCAATTCCTGACAGTGTAAGAACAAGCCAGCTTAAGACAGGGGCCATGAAATGTAATTTCTACAGTATGTAGCTGGCAATCATTTAACTGGCCATGACCCTGGTCTAAAAGAGAGCACTGGAGAAAAAATACTTTTCAAAAATTCTGGTTTATCCCAGCGGATAAAACCAGCAATGTGAGCTGGGCTACTTTTATGCTCATGTGAGTTTTACTTGCTCAAAATATTCTGAGGGCAGAACAATAAATTATTGGTCCAGTGAGATAACCAATCATATTGTAAAGGAGGTGGCTCCAAGCAACTAGAGGAGGTGGGACCAAACAATCAGATGTCTTGGTCCCGCCTCCTCTAGTTACTTGGATCCACCTCTTCTACAATCTGATTGGTTACCTCTCTGAACCAATCATTATTCTTTCTGCTCTAACACATTTTTGTGTTAGTAAAGCTCTCACAAGCTTCTTTCATCATTTTAAATATATAAGGCTGAAAATCCTAGACCTCACAGCCTGAGAAAAGAGAAGATACGAAAGAGGAGGAACTAGGGGGAAACGACGTAAGCTTTTAGCAGGTCTCAGACATACCTTACAACAAAATGCACAGACAGTATGAGAACTAGCATAGAGAGAGGATTACATCATCTCGGAGAAGCTTCCCACACGCGTCCCACAAGTCCGACAACAGGTATGTGTCCGAGGAATATACGAAAGGGGGGCCTATGTGATCGCTGTGGCTGTACATCACAAGCAAAACAAAAGGCCTTTGCATATGAAATGAATGGCAAAGGGTCATGACAAAAGAAATTTATCAAACATATGCAAACAAATAATAAAAAATAATGCATTGACATCTGACAAATATAACCTCTAATCCAGTGTTTCGAAACCCAGTCCTTGCGGACTCTCAGAAGGTGCACATTTTTGCTCCCTCCCAGGTTCCACACATCTGAAACACAATCAAACAATCAAGAATCCCGAATACCTGATGCAGGTGTGTTGAGAGCTGGGAGGGAGCAAAAATGTGGACTGTCTGGGGGTCCCTGAAGGCTGGACTGAGAAACACTGCCTTAATCTATCTGAAAAAAAGCATCAGATACAGAAAAACAATGGTACTTGACCCATCATGGTACACTCAAAATTATCCAAACAACCACCTTGATATGGGGTGGTTTACACAACACTGCTGTGCAAACCATCACCTTCAACTTCACAAATAGTTCGAAGTGTGAATAACAGCTGTCAGAATTCTTGGACTCACTTATTTTGGTCAGGAAAATGATCTACTGGATACAGGTCCAGATCTCTCTGACCTAAATTACTACTTATCATTAGTAGATTTGATTAACGCTGTGTTATGCTTTTGCTGCCTAACCCTGTGTGCAAAACAAAACAAAACATACACAATTCAGGTAAAGAAGCATCCAAGATATAAAGATTACCCATGCTAAGGCAGTGAAGTGGCTGTCAAAATATTAGCAATCTAAACCAAACTCCCACAAAACAAATTTTAGGGTTCTTTTTTAAAAAATAACATCCAAGATTACCAACTTTTCACAGCATTTGTCTGATAATACAGTTCTTCATACCACCTTTGCTGGCCACATAAAGCAAAATTTCCCATTTCCGTTCATTCTCTCCACCTACACACTGAGCAACTCCTAAAGTGACGTCTGTTCTGACGCCGTACTGCATCGATGCTCCTCTCCTGCCCTGAGAACTTCCTGCGAGGTGTTCAGCACTTGCTCAGCCACGCAGGCTGACTGGCACTCACCTCCTCCGCATCGGTCTTCTTCCTGGCTTTGTAAACGAACTCGCCGATGGCCACGAACACCGAGAGCACCAGACCGGCGGCCAGCACGATAAAGATGCCGCCGATGTTCTCCACTCCCAGGGCACTGGCCTCCTTGTTGTCCTCCTCCGGGCAGCCGTTGCCTCGCCACCATTTCTCTTTCATCATATGTAGCTTCCCCTCCTCCTGAAGCTGAAGAATGGCAATGGTCACCTGGTCTCTGTAGGGCGAACCTGGAGACAATGGGGCATAGCACAGGAGTCAACAGCAACACCGAGTAAGTTAACCTACATCCTAGAACCTGGTGGATAGGAATCCAGGCCCCCAACTACTGCTATCTACTGATTTTCCTTCTAACCCACCTCTTAATTGTTTCATTATAGTGTCATCGATTGGATATTAAACCTGCCCAAATGCTCTTCCAGGAGTAAATCAATGACCAATCCCACCCTGCTGACATTGCTAACCCTTGTGGTCTGGAGAACCCTATCTGCTCCTTGAAATAACAACAACCATCTCCGCATATTGAAAAGGTAGAGGAGAAACAGTGAGTAAACTTATTGCATCCATTTCGCGACATGTTGTACTTGTATTGCCATGTACATGACAAATCAAGGAATCTTGGAATCTTGGAATCTTGAACAAAATTCAGTTAGAATCGAAACTCCATGGACACCAACTTCATATCAGTTATTACTGATAACTACATATCAGTTATTGTCCAAACCTGGACCTGGGAAGGAGCAAAAGACGGACTGTCGGGGGAGTCCCCAGCGACTGCGTCGGGAAACACCAACAGAATATCATAAAAGAGATTGTAAGTAGCAGCGTGTAGTGGTGGTCAAAATGACACTTCATGAACTATTTCATATATTTTTTTACTGCAGTAGATGGTACTATCTGTTAAAAAGGGGGGCAAACCATGCCCCAACGCAAACCAAGAGCACCATCTAGTGGGGTCGAAAAACTCAGCAAATGGTTCATGAAGCGTTGTTTTGTTCATCACTAGCAGTCTGAGCTCTAGAAGTTCCATTACAGCTTAACTTTGCAATGCCATGTGGAAGGTCATTTGCTAATACCTCATAACAATCCCTTAAAGGAAAATAGCTGTCTTTCTAGAACTTCAACAGTGCATTGCATAGGACCACAGTCTGACTAATCCCTCTGACTGTCTTACCAATGGGAGTCCCAACACCATAGCCTTTGGAGTCGATTAAGCCCCCAATCTGGGTGAGGTTGCAGTTCCTCTGGCTGATGTACTCGATGCTGGTGGACTCCATGAGGAGCGCGTAATCCGTGGTGAGGACTCTCTGTATCCCCTCACGGTTGTTCTTCACCAGGGCTGTGTTCTTCCTGCTGCTCATAAACGCCCACATCTTCTCGTAGGTGGAGATTTTGGATTTCTGAAAGTTACGCGAGCAGGTACGAATTAAATCATTAAGCCAAATTTTTTTTTAACATAAACACACGCATATCGTCACAACACTGCTGCTAGAACCCAGACGCTACTGCCGCTCCAGACAAACGACAGGTGGCCAATAATCTCTATCACCACCACGGACAGCAGCCACCTGTTAAAATTTCAGCATCTCTGTTTCAGACCGGCTGTCCGGAGCTGCTCTTCCCCTAATCCACCATTGTCTGGCTTCCACTAATGGCTCCAGCCGGCTTGTTTTTGGGAAGGCTTCCTGAGCAGCCAAAAGGAAGACTCCCTCAGAGAAGGCTTGGCAAGCCTCTGGTATTGCCTCTAGCCCAACTGTAACCCTACAATGGCCATGCTGACGCAAATGATGCATTGGGCAGCACTACCAGCCTGAACACACAGAACGCCATTCAGTCCCATTATATTCGAGAGAAGCCTGACATTTCTACGGCTGATATCTTCAAAACTAGGCAACTGCCAGCACCTATGTCCAGGGCATCTTAAGATCCTAGCGATGATCCTGACCCTTATGCTCACATTTTCTAATGAACACTTCCTTCCTGGGGCGAGACTCCAAGAACTTGTGCTTTCCTATACGCCTCTATTCCGGCAGCCTGCCACAAGATATACTTACACCCAGCAAATCATTCATGCACACAAACACCCTTGAACGCGAAACACATCACGGACAGACAGGTTTCTTTCTCAAGAGGATGAAATTGGACAGTTGTGTGCAAATCTCTGCCAGCTGATATCATTTGTCCTCCAGGGTCCATGCTCTCTAAGATATATGGGCAAGTAATCTCCATAGATAATGCTCTGAAATGCTTCAGAACGAATGGGATTTGGGCTAGGCAACATATTCAGTGAAGCTGTCATCTGTACACCCACGGTCACACACTTCTACATATTACAATAATCTTTCTACCGCTGTCAATCACAGGGACACCCAGTGCTGCTGTCCGAGAGACTGTGACAATGTCTGGCTCAGTTGCCAAAACCTTCGCTTTTTCTAACAGTGAAGTATGCGGCAGACCAGCGGCCGTGTGACTTCACCGAGATGCAATAAAATGTCGGTGAGGATGGAGTGGGGGAAAAAAGACCTTGAAGAAATCTATAAACGCAGCAGACATATGGATTAAAAAAATAATAATGCAAGGCATCACAGAGTTTGCTAAATCCAACGCAGAGGCTCTGGATTGGTGAAATTGCATTTCAGATGAGATGAGAAGAGTTTGAGTCACTTTCTGGGCCAAAACTGACTAGCTAAATACAAATACAGGTAAGCAGAATACACACGTCTGGCTTTGCCTGAACAGCTTCCATGTGCAGAGAAATATTACCAAGTATGTTACGGCACTGAAAAGCCCAGCATAGATTACAACAGGGGTGCCCAATCTTATCCGCAAAGGGCCGGTGTGTGTGCGGGTTTTCGCTGCAACTTCCTAATTAGATTACTAATTAGAGGACTGATTGGCTGAAGAGTCCTCACACCTGGGTTTGAACAGCTGACCTACACCGGCCCTTTGCGGATAAGATTGGGCACCCCTGGATTTCAACATATATGCTTTACATTGTAATGACAAGCTTGCATTTAAAAATGATAAAAGAATCTAATCTACAAGTTTACAGGCGTACATTCCTACGCCTAAGTTTCACTTGTTTGTTTGTTTGTTTTCTTTTCTTTTTTAATTGCGCGAATTAAGGTCTGATCTTTGGCTTGTAATATTGATAGTTATATAAATCATATATATGAGACAATTTTCAATACTGACTTAGTCCACAGGACTTGCTTTCAAGAAAATTTTGAGAAAAGTTCTCCATTAGATTATATGTGGATTGAGTGAGTTTTGGTCCCCAGCACTGCTGGCAGAAGGCTACACTGTGAGGCAGGCTGCTTCCAGGCTCAAGGCTTCTAAGGCATCATACACAAGAATAAGGTGAAGGAGGAGACACTGGCAGTGACTAAATCCAGTCAGATAGAGGGCGGAAGCAACTTTCTAATGCCAGAGATGACTGTTAACCTATCCGACAGTGTCTCATAAATTGGCGGATGACCTCAAGTGACCCTCAAAAAGAATGGGATACATTAAGCAGTGTGAAGTGCACTGTAGGACAACACATAACAGCCTCCTAGAAATAGGACTGAAGACCCATATGGGAAGGCGGGAGGGAAGCAGGGGACAGCGAGGCTGCAGTTTGCAAAAAAATGTATATTTTACACAGATACATACCCATAAATTGAGAAATGAGTAAAAGTAAAATTTTTGCTGTGGTCTCAGTTTTTTCCAGAGCTGTACAATGAGGAAGCCTGACTTTAGGTCATTGGTGGTCTCATCTCACAAACAACAACAGACAGACTGAGTGAAGTTTGGAAATTGGGAAAAAGGGACATGAGCCCTTGAATATGCACCCTACACCCATCTTGATTTATGAGACAGAGAACATTAGACTCACCTTGAAGAAGGTCATGGTGGAACCATCTCTCACAGCACCATACTCGATTTTAGTCTGCTTTGCCAAATCGTCAGCTGAATCGATGGGCGAGTCCATTCTCTCGACCGTCAGGAAGGCGGCCAGGTTGGCCGTGTAGGACGATATTATTATCAAGGTAAAAAACCACCAGATGCCGCCAACGATTCTGGTGGAGAGAGCTTTAGGCATCAGTTCTGATCCTGTCACAACAGCAGCAAGGTGAACCAGTTAGACACACGGCAAGAAGGAAGGCACAGCAGAACATCATCTCAGTCTCCCTGGGGCAACGTCATCCTTTTCTACTTTAAGTATAATGAAGTCATGATTTGATAGCTTGGGGCCTGCATGGAGATGATTGTGTGGAGGTCGAGCCCAAACCAATGGCAGTTTTCACCAGGGGGGAAGGCCATGAAGATGCTGTAACGTCTTGATTTATCGCTGTCTTTTTGTTGTCTACAGTTTTATGAGTGTTGCTCTAATCTCACTAAGGTGAGATGTTGACGACAACCTTGACATGATTCATAATACAGCCTAAGTCATATTCCAGATAACGCCAAAGAACCCTCATCCTATCGGAGCATGTGTTCAATGACTCGGCACTGCCGTCATTACTTCAGTCATCATTTACACGGGATGTCAGTTTTGTGAGTGCTGTGAGCAGGGAAACCCAGGCTTGCTGGTCTTTTCTGCACAAACACACTGCAAAGCTCATGACAGCACGTAAGCCATGTCCATCTAGGTCACATATTTCTAAGGAATTAATCTAAAACATGAAGCCCAGTAAAGCACAAGGTTCAAACATACCACTAGTGTTTTGGAAATTCAGTTACATACAGGGGGAGGTATCACAAGGGTTGGCATATTTGGTAGCAAGTATTCCAATGAAAAAAATTCATGCATTGCATACTGAATGGTCAGGAAGCTCACCATCTGTTGGGCCATAGTGTGATTGATTGCCGTCTTAAACAAATAATTTTATTCTCCCCGAACTTCAATAATGAGCTATAGCTCTGGACTACTGAAATATGACTGAGAGCTTCGTTCGCCAGCTTAATTTGTCATGTAAGTCCATTAGTTATGAGCCTCAAATCACACCAAACCCAGAAGCATGCGCAGTTCTAAGCTTTGACTGTTGTGGCACACTGTTGTCACGGAGATGAGGCTATGCCTACAGCATGGAAGTGGATTCAGAAACAGCACAAGTAAGGCTGCTCCACTGACTTTACCAAGGGCCTGGTGGCTTCCCACAAGAACCAGCTCACAGCACCACAGTGTGGGCACTGTAAGGGCCAAGCTGAGCACACGGTGCAAAAGCCTGACGTGTCAATCAGGCAATACACATAGTAAACTGAGTCTTAGTCTCTTTCTCCTTCACGTTTTCTTATGTAATTTCTGTTCCACCCACCTCCTTCAAATAAATCTATAAACATCTGAGCCATGCAGATATCACCGAATCAGACAGGAAAGACTGGGCTGAACAAGTTGATAAGAGTTTGTGAGCGGTGTGAATGGAAGAATGACAAAAATGACAGCGCAGTGCAGCATCCAAGTGAAGATATTCCATCCTGGAATGCGGCATATTGCAGGCACTCTATCATAACATCATGTTTGGCAGCAGAGTGAAATGTGAGGAATGGTACTTGTCAAGACAGGAAGTGACCGCACGGTGCAGTGCTGATTTGGAGCGGTGTTTCAGAACCAGGGGTGGTACCATTCAGAATCAAACAAACAGGTTACTATGGCAACACTCTGGGACAGAAGCAGTATTGCTGAGGTCCCTTTAGTGCTGACTGGCAGGCGTGAGAGCCAATCCTGGCCAGACTTTTCTCATGTTCTGCAGGAAAGAAAAATGCTGATAATCACATTGAATAGCACTGCTGACACACAGCCAGTGAACAGAAAGAACAAAGTGCACAGACAGACGCTAGGTGAAGAAGGTCAGAAATTACACTACAATTCTCTAGTTCTTTTTATACCCCAACCCCCAAAACAAATCAGAAAAGATTTAACTTACGTCCATACTGTGGCATAATCTCTTGCAAATGTTTAGTTGGGCTCCAAAGCCATGACAGGCAGAATCTGGTTGGTGCTGACTATCATGTACCCAAGGCAGTGGTAACTGGAGGACACGGCATCCCATAGAATGCTGCGGACGATGGGGAACCCCAAGCAAGTGGGAATGGCTCATCCGAGTCATGTGCTGTAGGTCTCTGAGGCCGCAGGCACACTAACAAACCTACACGCGCGCACGACTGCAGGTTACTGTAAAACCTGATGCAGCCCAGTGAGAGGGTGCGATGGTGCTGGCAGGAATGGCAATTCCTGGGACCCGGGGAAAGAAGGGGTCTACAGTGTAAATGCAAGCCCACATTACAAAGCAATGACAACTAGCATGGATCCAGAGATCAGTCTGAAACACGGCTTTAATACGTGAAAGGCGTTCACCTGCAGTACAGGTGCCACAAAGCAGTAAGTTGCTACACTCTCAGAAAAAGGGTAGAAATTTGTACCTTTGCTTGTCATTGGGGCTGTACCCTTGTCATTGTACCTTTTAATGTAGATAAATGGACTCTGCGGAACATCCCAATGGTATAAACAGCATTAATATACCATCAATGGTACAGAATTGCTCCTAAGAGTCCATTTCTGTACCTTAAAATGTATGTTTACGTACAGCTAAGGGTATAGCTGGCAGACCCTTGAGGGTACAGCCCCAGTGACAAGCAGAGGTACAAATATCTACCCTTTTTCTGAGAGCGTAAATATGCAGGGTTTTTCAGAACGTTGTATACATACAGCAGTATGTAAACAACTTTCTGCTCCAGTGCAGCTATGGTTCCAGGAGGGGCATCCTCTGTGTTGCATTTATGCTGCAAAAACGCACACATAGCAAGACAACAGCAGAAAGATGTTTCAGAATGGGAGGGGGGGGGTCAATAGGGTATGTTAGCGGGACTGGTGTCCAGTGTGCATCAGCCGTTCTCCCAGTGTTTCTTGCACTGTATTTACATTTACTTTAATTTAGCAGATGCTTTTTTCCAAAGCATCATACAAGTGAGGAGCAGAGAGTAAGGCTACCTAGAGTCTGACTAACTGTAAGAGTGAAGGGCCTTGCTCAAAGGCCCAACAGTGACATCACTCAGCCGATTAAGGGACTTGAACTGGCAACCTTCTGATCATAAGTCCTAGCCCTCAGAGCCACAAACGCAGAGGCGCTCAGTGCCACAAAAACTGCAGGCGTTTAAAATTTCTGTATGGCTGGTGTCATTTATCACATAGCCATAATAATGGCGGGAGCCCCAGTAGGAATGGAGATCAGGTTTTACAGTGGGCGTTGAGGGGACGGGGCATAACAGTGGGTGGAGTTTACCGGCTCAGAGGCTCCAGCAAACTATGGGATGTGTGCAATAATGACATGTGACCCCTGTACCTTGCTGCATGAGAGCTCCAACTCCAAACCAGAAACTATTAAGCAATGTAAAATTGTTTTCCACAATGTCTGAGTCAGGGTTGCAGGGATGAGGATTATACCACTCATACGGAGTAAACCTGTGGGCGGTAAAAAAAAGAAAGAAAGAAAAACAGAAAAGAAAAGAATACTCTTTAAATCACTGCTGGGGCATGTGGTTTGAAACACTGCAATAGCAAAATTTATAAAGAAACAAAAAGAAAGTGCATCTTAGTATGACACAATACGAGAACAAGTTAAATGTCTGTGACATTTTCACTGTCAATGTTTACTTATTATTATTTACTTATTATTACCTCTGCAACAAACAATGTGCAGAAACACAGAACTAAAGTTTAAAATAAACACCCCCCCTTGATAAAAAATGAGCTCAAACGTATGGAAAATTTTAGAAAAATACTCCATTATTAGGTCAAAGATCCGTTAAAACAAAACCTGAATCAATCTGTGAGATTAAAACAAAACAAAACAAACAATAAATAAACCCGACTTGTACAACACATGATTTTTGCCAATTCCACCCACAGACTGAGATTAAACAAATGCTGCATTATTGGTGATGACTTCAGAAAAGCTATATAACAGTCACCATTAAATTACTTTATGGTTACAGAACTGCACACCGATTAACTTGATTTAACTGCAAGATAAAAATTTTTGAATGACCCTGCCCTGTAAAGCAATCTATAGTGTAATTATGATGCTAAGAATGTGATAGTCAAATAAGTAATCAAATTCAGCATGTAACTTTATAGAATGTGAACATCTATGGGTTTCGTAAGAGATACTGCATTGTGAATAAGCAATGCAGCTGGTCACCATCCATCATGCAGGTTCTGTAACTTAGAGAACGGTATGTATGAGATTTTCCTGATCTTCCTCAAAGTCTAGTCACTCAAGAGACACCAGCATATCTTGCCTCCTAAAGAAGTTGCCCAGATTTAGAATGAAAGCAAATCAAACACCCAGGGGCCGCGTAAGAGATTTTGGCCCCTTGAAAACTTATCATATTTGGCCCCCAAGTTACGGTTCATTTTTCAGAAGACAATAATTTCGGTTAGCATTGAATAATATTCCGCATGGCTCTCAAAGATGAATAAGGACAGAACATCTGGACAGGCTACTGACTGCGAGCAGCAAGTTCATTATGTTATCATAGAATCCATCAACATACAGGCACTTGTGTTGAAAGCAAGCAAAAATATGCTGAGAAGATTGACTACGTATGAGTGTAAAGTCTCATAGGTTTTTATATTAACATGGTTAATAAAATATTAAAAGGCATTAATATAGAACTGTAAACAGGCTGCCAGAACCAACTGAGGGGTTACATGTAAATTATAAACACCCACTTAACATTTCTGCGCCAATAATAAAACACTTTTTATTACTGTGTTCATTTCTGATTATGTCAAGATGGACAGCAGGCATCAGAACTCAAACATCATAAGATCCATGCTATTGTTACGTTTTTTTTTCACTACTCCAACACTTCAAGCACTCAAGGACTGCTTTGTCTGCCTATCTTGCTATTTAGCTATTTTAAACCAACTGGATTCTTTTCCTTTGTCTGATTTTAGCTAGTGCAAGTTTAACCCCCTACATCAAAATGAAATGTAACCCCAAAGAATCACTACACACTAAGTGATCATTTTTCAGATCCTTCCAACCAACAGCAATACATTTCCCTGGCAACACCTATCCCCCCCATGCCCAACCCTACCTGGCAATGACAAACAGCACGCAGCTAACGCCAAGGCAGGCCAGCAGGACGTACATCCAGATGTCCGGGGAGAGTGGGTTCAGAAAAGAGAACACCCCAGGATTGGTACCGTTAGGTTTGCGGTACAGGATGCTGATTCCCAGCGTCATAAAGGGCTTGGAGAAGTCAATGACCTTCTCTCTTACGTAGGTGATGGTCAGGGGGGCCACCGCCAGGTCGGCAATCTGTCCCAACAACAGAAAATTGGGTTGGTATGGGTCGGGGTAGATCAGGTTGACCCACAGCTGCTGGCTCTATTTGCAGTGTGTGTTAGTCCTTCTAAAACAGCTCTTTCACTTGTTACTGGTCAGATAGCAACTCCAATCACATTTAATCGATCACATATGTGCGCCTTATGTCTTCAGCTGCTATTCATTTTTATAATCTGGATTTTAATCTATGCTAATTGAATCCAATTATCCAATAAAATTAAGTCTGCAATATTACGATCTGATGTTGAAACGTGATTGGATGATTTACGGTGGCTTCCCTAGCGTCCTCTGCAAAGCTTTATCTAGATCCGAATCGCAATCTGGAGTGCAATTTGGAGTGCCGCTGAGTCGTGTCCTGCAGATACTCAATAAACCTCCGTTAGATGCTCCGTGAAAAGAACACTGCAATGGCAGCAGGGTAAAGGAGTTCTAATTGACTGATTGATCGCTTAAGTCTGCCACATGACAGTCAGAGTCAAAGCAAATTATCTCGTCTGTTGATCTTAATTGAAAAGCCTTCCTATATATTAGGTGGAGATAAGAGGATCCCAACAGACAGCACAAAATTGGTCATGAAGACCTCATTATCAGTCTGAGAAGCCCATCTGCTGCACGGCAACAATTCTTTAAGATACTAAGTGTGATATACAAATGGCTGTCATGTAAATTCGGCATCATAATTAGATTAACAAGAGTTTTTTTTGGGGATAAAAACAGACTGTGAAAGAGGAGCAAGAGGAAACTCACGTGGTCGATGAGCTCGCGCACCATGCCGTTCCACTCGCCCTTGTCATTCTGCGCTCCGTACTTGCCATCGGAGACCAGCTTGACCTCATACGTAAAGCCGAGGATGTTTGACAGCTCCTTCAGCAGATCCATGCAGTAGCCTTCGAAGCGATCGTTCCCATTCAGAGCCTTGTCCGACTTCTTGTACATGACATATGGATTTTCCTGCGTGGAGGTAATTATTTCATTTTTAAATTACAGTGTATACGAACAATGCACATGCTCCCTTCCAGGAAGGAGGATGGTGACCAGAACAATATTGATGAGAGAAAGGAATAGAGACTTTATTTCAGATGGAAGTGAATTCAATCAAGTCAGCGGGGAGGGGGTGACAGACACCAAAACTAGACAAGAGAAGATAAGATGAATAGGTGATCTGAAGAGGTTCTCTCATCACTTGACTTTGCTCTGAAATGGGACAACATGCTGTCTTCCTACCATGACCAACAGAAGGAAGGTACTGAAAGTCCATTCTGTATGCAAAACCAGAAGATACACTTCCCTGCAAGCTATGTAATATAGTCTTACCAAAATTGTGGTGACGATGAGGGTCCTGTTTGCCATTGAGTCCGTGACATTGGTGACTTTCTCCTTTTTGGTCTCAGTGAGATTTAGGCCATTGATGGAGTTCCAGACAGCAATCTGTAACACCGAACCCAGTGCGTTGGAACCCACCAAACCCAGTGCGTTGGAACCCACCAAACCCAGTGCGTTGGAACCCACCAAACCCAGTGCGTTGGAACCCACAAAACCCAGTGCGTTGGAACCCACCAAACCCAGTGCGTTGGAACCCACCAAACCCAGTGCATTGGAACCCACCAAACCCAGTGTTGGGAAAGCACGAGAGAAAATGCAAGGTTCGCAACAAAAAGGGAAGGAATGCAGGCAGATAAATATTCAAAGCGTGTACAGTCATTCATCCGTATTCTTGTTCAAATCATAAACTGGAATGTTCCGGTTGACCAACAAACTGTCATGACCCTGTACCTTTAAACTGATAATTATACAAACAATTCAGTGAAAAGAAAAATCTGTCAGGTAATGTGAGTGGGCAAATATTCAATGGCATGAAAATTCTACTTGGAACACTGATGGACACAGATAGAAGAATGTTAATTAAAAAGTTATTAATTCAAATTTTCTGAGGATGTTGATACAACTCAATTGAATGGATGAGCCTGGAAAAATAATCCAAGCAAGAATCTATAAAAAATACACTAAACATTTAGAAACTATTGCTTTTCAACACATATAACTGGCAGAGAGGCCTGGAGAGAGCATGACTGGGGAAGAACCTTTTTATCTAAGCCTGTACTGTCTCAAACAAAACAATTCTGACATGATTTCAACCACGATTTCCAAATCTCTGTTAGTTCACAGGATATGTTTTTGAGAAAAAAATGTAAATGAGTCAGTTTTGGTAATTTAATGAAAGTTCTTTGTTGGGTTGAGTGATGAGGAAGCCTGACTTTAGGTTATAGGTGGGCTCTTCTCAGAAACCACAACAAACAGACAGAGTGTTTTGGACATTTGCTCTTCAATTTTTCTACCAGCAGAATGCTGGCCAGTAGGTATTATCTTGGGCGCATTGCAGAAAAATCAAACAAGGGAATCGTGCTGTGCATGAAAACCCAAAGTTGAATCGTTAGCAGCCGCAGTAATTAATTTGCGTAGAGGAAGAGCTGCCACTTTGCTGGAGACTAGCTGTGCCACAAGATTTGATGATTCTTTTGCTAATGAGGCTATAAAACCCGCATTTCACACACGCTGTTTGTCACACAGCTGTAATTCCTCCAAAGTCCTCAATGCGAATGATTGGTCGAGCTAATTATCAGGGGTCCTACAGGCCTGTCGCAGGATCGGCGGCTCGATCTGGCACGAGATTGACGTCTTGGCTGCTGCCACGCTAGCGCCGAGGCTAATTCTGTGCCGCGTGCGGGACGCTGGCCAAAAACAGGTGGTGGGGGCGGAAGGGGTGAGACGGACTCCTACAGGGCATTTGATGGGGGCAAAACATCACAGGGCAGCGGGGAAGGCGTTGCGGTGTACAGACCTTTTTCCACACTTTATTTATGCTGCCCATGCCCTCGATAAAAGGCTTGTAAGATAAAAAATAGCATGATGAAAGATAAGTAATGGATCTGGTATACATCTAATGAATGTCACAGTAAACTATAAGACAGCTTAATGGGAAACTTTTAAATAATCTAACAAACTGATTCGTTTATCATTTGTTACTAAAGCAGACCTAGACAGGGAACTCATAAAACTCATAGTTCTAAATTCCTAAATATACATCCCAATATTGCTCTCCGGGAGGTGTAAGCATAAAACAAATGTTTTTAGCCAGAGTTTATAGCACAGCAAACCAGAGAGACTCCCTCACCTTGCCCAAGCCATCCTCCTTGAGGCTGATTATATCCAGGTCGAAGTCTCTTCTCAGTCCATCTGTTTTGTTTAGCACTATGCGTCCAGTCAGACCGTCCCACTGAGCCTGAGAGGCAGACAAAACAGAGAAGCCGCAGACAAAAGCTACTAACAAACAACGTAAAACAAGCTGGCAGCTAAATGACTGATATTAAGCCAACCCTGCTGAGGTCATTTTTATTTAAAAAATGTTTACACTACCAAATTCCGAGCCACCATAAATATAGCTCATTTGGCTTATGCATAACTAAATTTAATATATTGTATATGACTCCCAGTGCATGGATATGCATTGGTAACAAAAAAAAAACAAAAACAAAATAAATTTCAAAATCTAAGCATAAATACAGTTAAACATGTTTATAAAAATGTGAAATTACAAACATAGATATACTACCAGATAAGTAAAAACACTACTGCACTGTGTTTTAGATGCAGAGCTGCTTTTGGCCTGTGGTTGGTCAGATTTCTGTCCTGATAACCTCTGTCCTCTTGTGTAATATGACATGGACTGATGTCCATTTCAAGTGCAGAACACTGGATAGGACTGTGCATGTACCATGGCTGTCTGAGGGACTGTTTTGTCCCAAGGCCTTCTGGGTAAAGCTCTTCAGTGTGGTCATGTGACAACTCTGACGGAAAGGACAGAGGAATGACAGATTCCTTTGTCCAAAGTACAGCGAAACAAACAGCTCGCTACAGTGAACAGTTTCCGCTAATCAGCAGTAGATGGAGATTACGTGGTTAAAATATTATACTTTATGTCAAATCTCATAGATCAAGAGATCAAGACATCACAATTTTTAAAATATTAAAAAGCTGAAAAAAACTGCTAGAAATTATTCCACTGAAATTTTCTATAAAGCTTCTGCAAAGCTGGTCGAAGCCCATTTAGAACCTGAGGCGAGTTCCCTGCCGGTGCCCCTCCTCACCCGCAGCAAACTTCCTCACCTAATGTCACTTTGTCTCTGAGGGTATGTGGTACGTTACACGCACCTCACACCAGCGGGGGTGGTGGCGGGACCAGTGGTTTGCTAAGTTGGCGCCCCCTCAAACGATGCCGTTCAAGGTGGCCGCCCGTGTCGCCTAATGGGTCGAGCGACACTGGTGAGAGGATACCCAGTGTAACGGGGAGGAAATGCAGAATCCATACAGAGCCGGAAGCGAGACTCAAACCGCCAACAGTGAAGGTACGAGGCTATACTGCTCCCCACTGGGGCACCAGGATACTCCAAACTAAATAAAGCCAAACATTGAATGTTTAGAGAAGAGAAACAGCTACCAGCTACCCGCCTATTCTCCCGACATCGTCTTGGGAGGATCAACAATCTCACCTCAGCAGATTCCGAGACAAAGAGAATCTACTACAGACTGCACAAGCATATTCATTCTGTGGTACGGAGAAGCCACTGTATTCTGTTGGAATTAAACGGTTAATGGCGGCTTGGGGGGGGGGGGCGGGGCCACGTTTCCACACTGACCTCCTTGAACTGGCTCATGAATCGGGCGCCGAAGCGCCACGGCTTGTGCCGATGGCACTGGAGGGAGTTGACGGTCATCTGGCCGGACTGCTGTGACGACATGGCCACCATGTACACGGCGTCGTACATCAGGGCTGCCTCTGTCTGCAGGGGGCAGCAGAGGACACCGAGTGACACGCTCAGCTACAACATGCACATGTGACACATGTCAACATGTGACAAGGCCTATGATTGCTACCTGGAACACCATACATATAAATACACACACACACACACACACTTTTGGAATTACGTCTTTGTGGTGATTCTCCATTCATTTCTATATGGGGAAAACTCTAATCCCAACATGACGACCTTAACCCCTACGCAACCCTAACCTTAACCATAAGTAACCAAACTAAATACGAGACTTTGGGCATTTTTAGTTTTTTAATTGTGTTCACAAATATTTGGGGGGACCTCAAAAATGGTTCCCTACAACATCAAAATAACAGGTTTTTTATCACATTGTGGGGGCCATTTCGTCCCCACAATGTAATATAAACATAATCCACACAAACACAGACATACAGGTATCCATGGACTTATGTCTGGGTAACATTCTGGAAGGGATGCAAGTCAATATGGATGTATCTTGTTCATTATAGGAGAGAAGTCAAATATACCGTATAACATAAGATACAATATCACACACATTTAACCAAACCTCTATAGTTGCAGTGCAAATCATTTGTTTTGTTTCTTGCCACATGCTGCACATGTGGTAAAATACTTCCACTTCAGACCCCTCTCAATAACTTTTATTAAGGCTCTTATGGAACCTCAAGTACGATCGGACATCACTCGATAAAACGTACATCAATGGATGACTGTGTGTTTATACACACACACACACACGCACGCACGCACGCGCACACACACACACACACACACACACACTCCACTCCTCAGTCAGTGACCGAGTTCCATTCCAACAACCAGGCCGTTAAGAGAAATGGTTACCAAGTGAAAATCACAGAAGCCCAGGTGTCACCATGACTATGTGGTCAGCCTTCCATACTCAGTTCCTTTTATCCTTTACGAAGACGATATTTTATATTCGTAAATGTGCATATCATGTTGGAAAAATACTTTATTTATTGCCGTTGTGTTTGCAAATGGTCGCTAACTGAGGTAGTCACTAAAAAAGGAGTGATTGTGTACGTGCATTCCAAACCCCTAGCGTCACTGGGAGTCGATTATCACGGTGCCCTGACTGCTAAAGGGCTTCACGTGGAACCTTGTATGTGTACGAGGGAGATGTCAGGATTGAAAGTAAAGTGAAGTTTGACTAAGGGAAGAAAAGAGATTCAGGGTGCAAAAAAGAGTAGAAGTGAGCCAACGAATGTGAACAAGCAAATGACCAGGGATGGGGCTGACCGTCATTACTCCGTCCAGAAGCCCCGTGTCAGGACTGGGCGGACCCTGCAGGTGCTCCATGGACCAGCGGTCCATCACCGCAGCCACCTGCGCACTGTCAGTGTTGACCAGGCGGAAGCCTGTCATGTTCACGCCACTGTAGCGGTAGGGCTCCAGGTCCAAGGCGAAGAGGTCCTACAGCCAGGGGGGAGTGATCATCCAGCAGATACCATAACTTATCCTCCCCAAAAATCAGACCCCCTCAAAAGCCTACAGATGTAACGTATGGCTAGTCATGAGACCCCTATGCAAGGAACGCCTGAGGAGCTACAAACTGGACTTACCAGAGTTGTGAAGAAGAAGTGATAGTGTTCTGTCATCATCCCCAGAGTCAAGATCTGTGAATAAAAGGTACGTTTGTGCACCTACATTTTTACAAACTTATATTTTATGTGGTTACTAAACTGCTCCCCTTTTGACTTTGGGGCGAAATCATAGTTAGAGAAAGTGGAGCCAGAGTATTACCATGCCAGCACTCTTGGCCCAAGAACAGTGGATGGTGTTTCTGGCAGAAAGAACGACCTTTCAAAAGAAAATGCGGAGGTTGCAGCATCCAGCTGAGGGTCGACCAGGAACTGCAGTCACCTGTTTGAGGATGTTTGCAGCGGTCTGCCAGGAGCAGTCGAAGATGACGAAAAGCTCTTTGCCCTTCTTCATCTCCTTCAGCAGCGTCCGAGCGTCCTTGCTCCCAAGGGGCAGCTGTCGGATTTTGATCTTGATGTTGTACCTGGATGGGGCTTTGATCAGCTCCTGCAGTCGCATCAAACCTACAGACAACATAATGCAAGAATATTTCAAAAATTCTTAACTGAAAAACTTGTGTGATATAGTGTGTGCAGAGGACGCTTCTAGAAGATCATCATGAATGATGTCACCGGTAGGGGTGTACATTTATTAACATTTATGCAAATAAAGCAAATTTTGTGAATTAAGACATCATCTGTGCCATGCAGAGACTTTTGGAGGGTTAAGTGCTCAACATGGGGGGTGTTCACCTTGGTAAATTTTGCTGATTTGGGGGGGGGGGGTCTTCCTCAGTAAACCGGTGTTCGGTGAACTTAACCAACCAGGGATGGGGACATTTTCAGTTGTTTGGACAAAAGGGGTAATTGTTCAGACATCCTCAGTCCCCCCCCGCCCCCCGCACTCAATAACTGTATATTCAATTAGGGGGGGGGGTGCAGTTCCCTTAAATCTGTCACACATAGCATAGGGCTCAGGTCAGGTACTGGATGCCAGCCCATCAGATGATACTGTCATACATTAAAAATAACTGTAGGTCACCTAATCAGCATGTCTAGACTGGGAGGGACCACAATCATGGGAAAGCATGCGCACCCTTTACAAAGCCTGGACTGAATTACAGCCACTAATACTAGACGAGAATTCCAGCAGGCGAACCTCATCTGATCCTCAAATCTAATTCAAGTGCACCAGTATATGAAGTATGAACTTGATACCATGATATGCAGCATAATCTGATAAAGTGAACAACAATATACTGGAAAAAAAAAGCACCCAGAGAAGCTGCAGACGTCAGACTAATATTGATTAAACACACCTGTCAGAGGATTGTGTTCGGCTTGGACACAACGAGCGGCTACTCAACCGTCAGACATCAATTTCAAGCATATTGCTCATGTTTACACTCTAAAGCAGAATTGGGCAGACTTTTCAATCTTTCATGAGAGTTGCTATTTTGAACAATGGAATTTAGACGGGAAGACCAATCTCAGAACCGCCTGTCCATTTCTGTTTAACAGAGATATACTCCTTACCTGCCACAGAATTAATGGCTACTGACTTGACTGTAGCTGTACAATTACAGACACTTTGTTATTCCATCCAGTATGTAACATCCTATCTCATCTCCAACAACATGCTATCTTAGAGGAGAGGATCCCAAAACTTTCTAGCAATCCCTTATATTTGGCATATTCCTAGATAATCTGATTCAACTAATTATGGAGTTATTCGATTGTCCGGTGGTGGAAAAGAATGAATATACAGAGTGGTTGTGGGCACCAAAGACGATTGTCAAATGTCAAATGTAGTCATTGAAAATGACTACATTTGACAGACAGATGTGCCACTGAATTGTTAATGGCCCTCTCTCTGGCATTATGGGTTTCAGCCAAACAGAAGTCAATCGAACGATGCTTTCCTCATCACCTCAAAAGGAAGAAGAGGAGGAGGAGCTGCAGCAGACGGCACGGACCATAAAAACGATAATGAGAAAACCTTGACCGGCCATCACTCTTAGCTTATTTGCGTAATGAAAAAACACTCTCTGAGGGCATGTGACAAATTAAAAGTGGAACAAACTCATTTAGGTGGCATTTCTTTCCCTGTATGACCAAAAAACAGTCATTTCCCGCAAACACAGCCAGTAGGTGCCATTTCCATTATAATGGTCACAGGATCCAATCAGAGGCATAAATCTCTCATGAGGGAAAGCGATGTAAATAATTCATTTTCCAGAATGGGAGAGCAGACAGCATCGCTGCTGTTTTTCTTTTCCCCTTTTTGAGATACAACTGATCCATCAACAGATTCTTATTTAGAAACTTGCCTGTTTAAACATACATGATCAAAATGGAGAATTCAGCCGTGACGACCAGTGTGTTTAGTTATCCTCGCTAAACACAGCAAAACTTTTAAATGTTCCAAATTTGGCAAAAAAAAAAAAGGCTTGAATCTGGAGAAGTTGTGGGTAAAGTAGGGCAACATCACATTATAACCTGTTGGCCTGCAGTGGAATTCGAGAAACCTGAACTGCATGATTGATGCTGGCGGGTTTAATGGGATAGATTTCTCACTGGGGACTAGTTGAACATTAGGTCCTGGTGATATGGCCAGTCGTCATCTTCCCGACAACTCGCTGGGGAATGAAATCAATAGATGTGTGGTAATACTACAGCCACTGGGGAACCTCAGACCATTATCTGACATTAAATTAATAGTCACAAACACAGGCTGTCATTGGCTGAAATATTACGTGAGATCTGGGGGCAAAGCGGACCACATTCACAGTCGATGCTCTGTTTATTGTGTTGTGAAATATTAAATCAAAATGTGAAAACCACTGAAATGTAAAAAAAAATGATTGCGACATATCAAAACTGCGATTCAAATTTTCATCTCTACATACTCAAAAATCATGGCGATCAATTGGTTTGACAAATTATTCAGAGTAATGATCCAACGTGATAAATTGTCTAGATGAACTGCGGTTGTAACAATTAAAAAAGGCCATTTAGTTCCATTAGCGACACGGAAACGCAGTCAGCAGCCCCAGTGAATGCCATGTCGTGCAGACAGGTAGAGTTGTAATCGTACAGCTATTTCTGCTGTAATTGTAATTACAATCGACTCTGTAGCTCAGTACCACATTAGATCATTCACAAAATGTCACATCAGAGTCACACAGAGTGATTAATTGACCCACCAATAGATTACAAAAGCAGCAGCATATGCTATATACAGTACAGATGGAAATCACAATTCATTGAATCAAATGATTCCTGCTCAATCGAGCATTTACTGTTGGGGGTGGGGGGTGCGGGGAGGGGAAGTAGAATTCCTTCAGTACTTCATGCAAGTGCAGGTTTATTATGGCAACATTTTTTTGCCCACAAGTTCAAAGTTTCCATCTTGAACAATGACTTTATATTACCACTGTTATTGCGTTTTTTTTTTTGTTTTTTTTTATATTTGCAATATTTCTTGCAGCATTTTAATTTTTAACTTAACAATGCATGCCTTTGCATTTTATTTGTGATGTTATTCCTGTCTAAAATTAAGTATTGAACGGGGTGTCATGTCTGGTACTTGTGTACTAAACACACATTTAGCAGATGTGTTTGCTGAAAGTAACGTACAACGTGGAAGCTTCCAACCCGTATCGGATGCAAATTAGAGTTAGAGCAGGAGCTAAACAAAAGCTTGTCAAATTAAAAAACACCACGAGGACTCTGTCTCTACTAGACAAGTGTGAAATACAGAAAAGGGACATTCAGCGTTGCCAAGAAACCATAATCAACAAACATTAAGACAGTGTTCAAACACATATTGGGGGCCTTTTTTTTATTGAAAGGCATGATCAGAAATGAATGGCCTTGTAGGTGATCTTTTGTCATTGTTTTAAACAACTGTGCCATAGATCGCAACTGTGCACCCCCCCTTGGATAATCTATTACTCTGACCTCTGCTTTTTAAGTGCGTGTTTTGGGATCAGTGATCCAGATTATCCCGTTCACAACTGAGATCATTTCATTCACTTCAAGATTATTTTTAAAAAATGGAATGGAATTTTCCACTGAATATTTCTATGTTAAGATTTAATAAGAAAAGTATAGAAAATCACTTTTGTGCAGAAGAGTCGGTCAGTGAATGAAGAATCACTCGGTTAATGAACTGAACGAAGAGTCGGTCAGTGAACAAATTGAACGAAGAGTCGGTCAGTGAATGAAGAATCACTCGGTTAATGAACTGAACAAAATGAAATCGAATGAATGACTCATCTATGAATGACGCAAATCAAATAAACACCAGGAGCAACGGCAGGGTGATGAGCCAATACTTACATCATGTGCACATGCAGCGTCACTTAAAGAGATTCCGGGCTCCCTGACAAAATGTTACATTGGGCCCCCTTGGGCCCGGGAAATATACAGTACCAGATTCCCCGCTACAATGGCCCTGACTTAAAGTGCATAACCATCATGCAACAAACATGTTTGGCTTGTACAAATTTCACTGCATTTTGCTTAGCATGGGTCAATCAGCACAGCACTTTTCTGATGTATATTAAAGCAGGACAAAGTAAATATGCTGACTTTACTTCCTAAACAAAGCATCATCTCCCTGAATTACACAGGAAAATATACACGTGTGATAACTCAGACAGCATTTCCTTACGTCAGGTTGTAATCATATAGCCGAGAGATCTAATATCATGAAAACATTGATTGTAACTACTTGGTTTATCTTAAAAAACACATTTTCATCAGCATTAGGATGTGCATTTACTTAAATGTCACTGCATTTCACTGGGGGGATTTTTGGTGTGTTACTCAGGAGGTTAGGACACTGCGACTGTGATCAGAAGATTGCCGGTTCAATTCTCAGGGTCGACAGAGTGATTTTGCCATTAGCAAGACCCTCAACCTCCCAACTGCTCCAGGGACTGGATCTTACCCTGCTTTCTTAAAAACTAAAATACGTTCGGCACTTTGCATTAAAGTCTCTGCAAAATGAAAAAAAATATCAATTCCACATTCACTTCCCAGAAGGGGAACACAATCTTATACCCTGAAACAGAACAGTTCCTCCAAGCACAGGAGCCGCTATAGTAAACATCTGCAGTAATGTATGTTAGGATATGCAAAGAGGGCACTATTTTCCAAGTTGAACTGACGACTCTAAAAATTCTGCAAGTGTGTTAAGGTGTGCCCCAAGATGGACTGCCGTCCTATCCAAAGTGTCCTCTGGAGATGGAACGTTATTTTAGATAGCAGTTCCTACACTAAGCCTATAAAATGCAATACATCTTGAGTCGTCAGATGTTCTCAGAATGCTCTATCTTCAAATGTTCTGCAATAACTCTTCAACCCACCAGAGCTGTCCTCATATACCACGGTGACAGCCTTCCACTTGTAGAACTGCACCACATCCAGGATGGCGCGGCTGATGGAGGAGTACTCGGGGTACAGGTTGACGTAGAAGGTGTCTTTGTTGTCCGTCGATGGGTGCTTCCATCGCGTCTGCACATGCGGCACCTCCAAGGCGTTGCAGATCGACTGGACGGCGCTGACTGAGGAGCTGTGGGAGGGGCCAAAGATCGCTGCCACACCCAGAGCCAGCTGGTCACAGGCTATTGGACAGGTAGAGGGAGACAGACATCGGGTGTCTTTCAATACCAAGAACACAAAGTACATGTTTTTATTCTCGGCAAGAGCACTCTTGCGAACTTGCCTCCTAAGAATGAACTAGTGATGCAATGAATTATGGGATTTTTCTTGTTGTCAAGGATACAACCAATGCATGCTTGATATTTGAGGCAGGGCAAGAACGACATCCAGGGATTTTTGCCGTCCTCTGTACCACTGTTCTTGAGTATTGAAACCAAACTTCAGCAATGTTAGATGGAAGAAGAAAGAAACGGGTACACAAGTACGGTCAAGTTGACATATTGATTAAGACCCTGAGAGAGTAGGGAGGATTTAGAAAAAAGAAGGAGGGATTGAAAGGTTACAAATCTGCTCAACTCCTGAGTGACACACAATTTTTTCAGCTTTTTAAGACACTCTTGCATGAGGATAACCCCTTTTGTCCTGGTAGGTCATATTTTTGCATTTAAGCTGAGAGCTGGAGATTGGGAGAATCTTTCTGAAAAGCCTCTTTATATATTCATTAAATACATGACCTGAATATCAGTACATGATTGAGGAAGTCATGATACTCACCGGCCTGGATGATTTAAATCAGAGACGAAAACACAAATTGGAGTGAGACTGAAACAGGAGGAACATATATTCTAAATGAACGAGGCTGGGGGCAATGGTGAAATACCTCTTCTAGAAGCTTCAAAACTGTCAAAGTAGTTGATTCTCTGAATGTCGTACGTCAGTGTAGTGTTCGGCATCAAAGTCCTGTTTCGGTTGATGTTGGTCACAGCAAATTTGAAGGCCAGTTCTTCGACACTTACAGGTTCACTCTCAAGCGTTTCAAAAATCCCCCCTGAAAAATAAAAACAGGTTTCAGCACAAGGGGAAATATTGAAAACAATGTAAAAATTCCTTTTAAATATTTATTATGTAGGTTTATCATTATACCTGGTTAATTCAAGTCACTGAAAATGTACACTAGTGGCCAAAATTGTGGAAACACCATGCATTTTTGGCATTACTGGCAGTAACATTTATAAACAACAATAATAGAATGTTTACAAATATCATACATTGGACGATTAAATTAGTTACTCAAGCAACAGCTCTGCAGTCTCAAAAAATTGGAAACGTTTCCACAATTTTGGTCACTAATATACGTGAATGTAACTTTTAGTGTTCATTAGTGTTCACTTTTGTTTAAAGTAAGTTCAAAAGGGTGTGTTCACATTTTAATTCAGGGGTACGGTACAAAACAAAAATTCTTCACAGTTTAGAGAAATGTTTTCTCAATCAGGACAAATGATAAAAACAAAATGGTTTTGTTTACGTTGAGGGGTTTCGGACACTTCGTATCTGAGACACATTTAACTTTACTTCCTGTCCTTAGGGTGGGACTATAAACCTCATCATACAACAACCTATTATTACAACAAAAAAACCCTGATAAGACTCTGCTGGAGTGATTTCCCAAGTCCTGCCTGAAAGTATAATCCAGGTTGCTGATCCCACGATCGTTTATCACCTCTCCTGAGTGGTGGAATGACTAGACTTAATCAAACAAAGCAAAAACCTATTAGAAAATTACTGGTAACACTTTACTGGATGGGGCAGAAATACTTAGTAATAATTCAAGTACAAATCATGAACAAATCTTATAGTCACTACTAAAGATGCATCACGAATCATTAATGATGAACAAGCATGACATCAGCATTTCACTTGCGTTATTCATGACTTGTTCCTTCAGTAATTCCTTAGTAGTTCCTTCAGTAGTTTACAGAATTAGCAACAAATAGCCTGAGATAAAACGTGTCATGATTCATTAATGAATTAACATGCGATCAGTATGTAACTAAGACTTAGTTTGTGGTTAATTAATACATAAGTAATATCATAATACTATATTATTTGTGCCCAGTCAAATAAAGCATTACCAAAATACCAATAGTGAGTTTCACTCGAAAAATGTCTTTAAATGATGGAAACAGGGTGATTTATAGTGGTGCAGAAGGCTCCTATATGCTGTGTCTGAGTACAACTGGAACTTTAGATGGATGGCAACACAGAAGTGAGCGGTGGGTTCAGTCTGTGCCTTACGGGTGATGGGATTAAAGTACCACCGATGGCACAGCAGGACTGTAATTTAGGGAGGGGGCAAAGAGCTGGAGAGGGATATAATAACCCGCTGTGGATTGGGAGACCCCCCCTCCCCCCCGCCTTAAGGGAGAGGAGGAAATTTGACATCCAAAAAATATAAAAATGCAATAATGTGACGATAAAAGTGAGCAGAGATTCTGCCTGTCAAGATGAAGATAATTTTGTCTTTAAGCAAAAGGGGTGGTGGTAGTGGGGGTGGGGGGGGGTGGAGATTATCCCAAACCCTAAAAAGCTTAAAGCATTCTGGGGCTTCTGAAAAGAGATCACATTTTAGCATGAAGAAAATTGTGGCCAGGAGAAGTAATCTATTATCACCTAACATGGTACAGAATGTTCCCAGACTCTGCTTTAGCATTCATTATAAAATTTCGTTCAGAAGATTTCAGGGATATTTGGGATCTGTAGGTTCTGTTCCCTGCCTTTGGTACCATTCGCTCACATTACACCAGTCGGCCCTCTTCTTTCAGTATTTAAGTTTTACTCTTACAGAGGTTTGAAATTATTGGCAATTGGGATTTGTCACCAGGTGAGAGTAGAAATGGTTTCTCGTTTTTATGGTCACTGGTGCCCTTGCGATTTAATGTGCTAAAGGATTATCACCATTGGTGATTCTGAGCCACACCAGTGATCACATGACCATACTCACATCTATAAAGCTAAACACCGTGTTGGGATCTCTTCTGGTCGTAACGTTTTTCTTAAGATATTTTCTTCCCTTAAACACCGAAATATGTTGTTCCAGGAAATTATCAGAGGTGCAAAGCCTGGCTTTGTGCTCCAAAATGTGTGTAGGTGTGTGTGAGCATGTGTATAAACAGGCATATGTGTAAGCATGTGTATAAACAGGCATATGTGTAGATCTGTGTAAGCATGTGTATAAGCAGGCATATGTGTAGATCTGTGTAAGCATGTGTATAAGCAGGCATGTGTGTAAACATGTCGCCCACAGTGCTTGGCCTTTTCT